ATTTAATAAAAAGTGAAGATTACAAAGGCAATTCCAATTATGGTAATGTCTACCTGTCGCAAAATTTACAACGACCCAAAATTGTCTCCAATTTTTTTGGACAAAAAAATAAGAACAAAGAATCTCTTTATCGAAGGCGCTTTAAGGCTAAGACGCAGAGATTCATTCACAACCTATCACATGATGGATCAATGTGGACCCAATTTCATGCACAATAACGAAAGGGTACAGAAAAGCCTAACAGGACCCATATCAGTCAACAGCACTAAAATACTCCCGGCTGAAACCACATTGGTCAATTCCCCTATTCAACATGAGCACAAAAGAATACTAAATAATGAAAGCAAAACTTTAGAAAATGCACAACTATAACAAACAAAAAAATATGAACGCAACCAACACGTACCAAAGACGGTCAAATTGAGCAGATGATGAAGCAAATACAGTTGAAGCAGCGTGACGATCACTGGGTGGAACAGAAACGCGGAAACAAGAAAAATAAGGGCATTGTTCATAAATTAAGCAGGCTTGCGTTCGCTTGCCCAGACACCTGCAGACAATGGCATGGTCAAACCTTCTACATACCCTCGTCACATAGTAACAGTGTTTTGATGTGCTTTAGAAAATAGGATTTACTAATCTAACACTGTAGTTTTACTATGTCAGGAGAGCATATAAAAGGTCTTAGCAGTAATCTAAATATCACAGTATTCGAAAACAGAAAATCAGAACTTACATTCTCATAACCGATATGTACACAGGTGACCTCAAAAGTTACTCAACTTATATAAAGGCTGTCACGAAAGACGTAGTAGGTTCTGTTTTCCCCACACCTTTCCATTAAGACCTCGTATTCAGTAAGGTACACTCGTAGTTGCCTTCACTATATTCATAGTCCCATGTGCCATCATTTGGTAAGATCGGCTCGTCTTCTTCAGGAATGATTTCGGGTAATCGTACAAATGATGGTGCAGCAGGACACTAAACCAGACAACAAGCAATGCAAGAAAGCAAGAAACAAGAAATTGCCAAAAAAAAACACTAATTTGAAAGCTTAGGAACTAAAATGCACAAATAAAACTGCTTCGGCATAAATTTTTTCGATGCGTGAAAATGTTGTTTTTAAGAGCTCTAAGGACTAAATACTTCACTATCACATAATCAACAACAGCTCCCGTGCACATATCAACTTCGTCATACACACCAGGGCGTGTTGCGGTCACTGCATGTTCCCTGGACTCATAATGCTGCAAAGTAACAAGACATGTAAGCAGGAACCACTAATTCTTTAAATGGCATATCCTGCAGTACAAATACTACGGCATTTTCAATTCAGTGGGGTTACTAACTCAATCAAAATGGAATCTGATTCTTTGAAAAAAATACGTCACCTGTTCCATATCCTCGAAAGTTTTTCCGCATAAATCACAAAACTTATTCGTAGGTGTTTTCACGGTGCGATTCAACTAAAAAAAAGTAAAGATCAATCAATAAAGCAAATAGTCAATGAGCGAATTAAGAAACACCTCATACAAGCAATAAATGCGCTCGTATTAATCAAGCTGAGAGTTGTGGGAAGGGGTGGGGGGGGGTGAGGGGGGGAGTGTTTTCACTAGGACAGAAAGCGAATTTTTCGCGTTTCGCGCGAGAATTTCGCGGCACATTTTCGCTGCAGGAACTCAGGTCCACTCATGATCAGCGGTGGACCTGAGGTTCCCGCAGCGAAAAATGTTTCGCGCTGCGAAACGCGAAAAAGTCGCTTTCTGTCCTAGTGAACCACACCCGGGTGGCGTTCTGCTGCAGAACTATTATATGTAGTTCTTGCGACAACGTAAATCCCAGCTTTTCACAAACAATTCTCTGAAATTAGAAAATGCTACGAGCTTCAGTTCTGAGCTATTTCTTCGATTTTTATGTTGTACGGCATTACATTCTGGGAGGTGCGAAACTGCGAGCCAGGACATGAGGAATTTGAAAGGAAACTGGCTACAGGGCAGGTAAACAAATTTCGTCAAAAAAGAAGGGCTTTTCGCCATAAATGTTTCACTCACCTCGAACTCCTTCCCATCTTCTTGGCTTGGACAGAAATCCTTATCCCTTGAATTGCCTTATGTGTTCTCTATCGACAACCCGTCGGGTGTGGTTCACTAGGACAGAAAGCGACTTTTTCGCGCGAAACATTTTTCGCTGCGGGAACCTCAGGTCCACCGCTGATCATCAGTGGACCCGAGGTTCCCGCAGCGAAAAATGTTTCGCGCTGCGAAACGCGAAAAAGTCGCTTTCTGTCCTAGTGAACCACACCCCAACCCGCCCTCTCTTACTGTTAGGTGAACAGTGCCCAAACTAAAAATGACTCAAGCATCTTGAATATATCCTACCTTAACAGACTTTCCAGATTTGGCGCTTCTCTCTCGACCAGGTGAACTAGGTGGATCAGAATCCTCCTCTATCAAGGCTTCGTTTTCTCTTTGCTTTCTAGAGATACGATTTGAATTCAACAGCCACAAATAAATACAACCTTCAAACTAACCTCTTCTCCAGTTGTTCGGCCGTAACTCGACGGAAGACACAATTTCCAGCTGCTGGCCCGAAATAGACAGTGGTCCAACGAGGAGTGGAGCATTCCTAGAAGAATCAAAATCAACATCATTCGGAAATGAAGAAGTTGGAAGTAGACCGCATACCTTGTATGATGGAGCATGAACTTTTTGACTATCCTGCCATTTGATAAACGGTCTTTTCAACCTTCGTACTTTCCGGCCTTTCTGGAAATGAACAAATTGTACAGGAAAA